GCTCCCTAGAAGTGTCAGTGCAGCTCCCTAGAAGTGTCAGTGCAGCACCCTAGAAGTGTCAGTGCAGCACCCTAGAAGTGTCAGTGCAGCTCCCTAGAAGTGTCAGTGCAGCACCCTAGATGTGTCAGTGCAGCTCCCTAGAAGTGTCAGTGCAGTACCCTAGATGTGCTTGTGCAGCACCCTAGAAGTGTCAGTGCAGCACCTTAGAAGTGTCAGTGCAGCACTCTAGATGTGTCAGTGCAGCTCCCTAGAAGTGCCAGTGCAGTACCCTAGATGTGCTAGTGCAGCACCCTAGAAGTGTCAGTGCAGTACCCTAGATGTGCTAGTGTAGCACCCTAGAAGTGTCAGTGCAGTACCCTAGAAGTGTCAGTGCAGTACCCTAGATGTGCTAGTGCAGCACCCTAGAAGTGTCAGTGCAGTACCCTAGATGTGCTAGTGCAGCACCCTAGAAGTGTCAGTGCAGCACCCTAGAAGTGTCAGTGCAGTACCCTAGATGTGCTAGTGCAGCACCCTAGAAGTGTCAGTGCAGCACCCTAGAAGTGTCAGTGCAGCACCCTAGAAGTGTCAGTGCAGTACCCTAGATGTGCTAGTGCAGCACCCTAGAAGTGTCAGAGCACCACCCTAGAAGTATCACTAAGTATCACTGCACCACCCTAGAAGTGTCAGTGCCGTACCCTAGAAGTGTCAGTGCAGCACCCTAGATGTGCCAGTGCAGCACCCTAGAAGTGTCAGTGCAGCACCCTAGATGTGCCAGTGCAGCACCCTAGAAGTGTCAGTGCAGCACCCTAGATGTGCTAGTGCAGCACCCTAGAAGTGTCAGTGCAGCACCCTAGAAGTGTCAGTGCAGTACCCTAGAAGTGTCAGTGCAGCACCCTAGATGTGCCAGTGCAGCACCCTAGAAGTGTCAGTGCAGCTCCCTAGATGTGCCAGTGCAGCACCCTAGAAGTGTCAGTGCAGCACCCTAGAAGTGTCAGTGCAGCACCCTAGATGTGCTAGTGCAGCACCCTAGATGTGTCAGTGCAGCTCCCTAGAAGTGTCAGTGCAGCACCCTAGATGTGTCAGTGCAGCTCCCTAGAAGTGTCAGTGCAGCACCTTAGAAGTGTCAGTGCAGCACCCTAGATGTGTCAGTGCAGCTCCCTAGAAGTGTCAGTGCAGCTCCCTAGAAGTGTCAGTGCAGCTCCCTAGAAGTGTCAGTGCAGCTCCCTAGAAGTGTCAGTGCAGCACCCTAGATGTGCTAGTGCAGCACCCTAGAAGTGTCAGTGCAGCACCCTAGATGTGCTAGTGCAGCACCCTAGAAGTGTCAGTGCAGCACCCTAGATGTGCTAGTGCAGTACCCTAGAAGTGTCAGTGCAGCTCCCTAGAAGTGTCAGTGCAGCACCTTAGAAGTGTCAGTGCAGCACACTAGAAGTGTCAGTGCAGCTCACTAGAAATGTCAGTGCAGCACCCTAGAAGTGTCAGTGCAGCACCTTAGAAGTGTCAGTGCAGCACACTAGAAGTGTCAGTGCAGCACCCTAGATGTGCTAGTGCAGCACCTTAGAAGTGTCAGTGCAGCACACTAGAAGTGTCAGTGCAGCACACTAGAAGTGTCAGTGCAGCACCCTAGAAGTGTCAGTGCAGCACCTTAGATGTGCTAGGCAGTACCCTAGAAGTGTCAGTGCAGCTCCCTAGGAGTGTCAGTGCAGCACCTTAGAAGTGTCAGTGCAGCACACTAGAAGTGTCAGTGCAGCACCCTAGAAGTGTCAGTGCAGCACCCTAGAAGTGTCAGTGCAGCACCTTAGAAGTGTCAGTGCAGCACACTAGAAGTGTCAGTGCAGCACCCTAGATGTGCTAGTGCAGCACCTTAGAAGTGTCAGTGCAGTACCTTAGAAGTGTCAGTGCAGCACCCTAGAAGTGTCAGTGCAGTACCCTAGATGTGCTAGTGCAGCACCCTAGAAGTGTCAGTGCACCACCCTCGAAGTGTCACTGCACCACCCTAGAAGTGTCAGTGCAGTACCCTAGAAGTGTCAGTGCAGCACCCTAGATGTGCCAGTGCAGCACCCTAGAAGTGTCAGTGCAGCACCCTAGAAGTGTCAGTGCAGCACCCTAGATGTGCTATTGCAGCACCCTAGAAGTGTCAGTGCAGCACCCTAGATGTGCTAGTGCAGCACCCTAGAAGTGTCAGTGCAGCACCCTAGAAGTGTCAGTGCAGTACCCTAGAAGTGTCAGTGCAGCACCCTAGATGTGCCAGTGCAGCACCCTGGAAGTGTCAGTGCAGCTCCCTAGATGTGCCAGTGCAGCACCCTAGAAGTGTCAGTGCAGCACCCTAGAAGTGTCAGTGCAGCACCCTAGATGTGCTAGTGCAGCACCCTAGATGTGTCAGTGCAGCTCCCTAGAAGTGTCAGTGCAGCACCCTAGATGTGTCAGTGCAGCTCCCTAGAAGTGTCAGTGCAGCACCCTAGAAGTGTCAGTGCAGCACCCTAGATGTGTCAGTGCAGCTCCCTAGAAGTGTCAGTGCAGCTCCCTAGAAGTGTCAGTGCAGCACCCTAGAAGTGTCAGTGCAGCTCCCTAGAAGTGTCAGTGCAGCTCCCTAGAAGTGTCAGTGCAGCACCCTAGATGTGCTAGTGCAGCACCCTAGAAGTGTCAGTGCAGCACCCTAGATGTGCTAGTGCAGCACCCTAGAAGTGTCAGTGCAGCACCCTAGATGTGCTAGTGCAGTACCCTAGAAGTGTCAGTGCAGTTCCCTAGAAGTGTCAGTGCAGCACCTTAGAAGTGTCAGTGCAGCACACTAGAAGTGTCAGTGCAGCTCCCTAGAAGTGTCAGTGCAGCACCCTAGAAGTGTCAGTGCAGCACCTTAGAAGTGTCAGTGCAGCACACTAGAAGTGTCAGTGCAGCACCCTAGATGTGCTAGTGCAGCACCTTAGAAGTGTCAATGCAGCACACTAGAAGTGTCAGTGCAGCACACTAGAAGTGTCAGTGCAGCACCCTAGAAGTGTCAGTGCAGCACCCTAGATGTGCTAGTGCAGTACCCTAGAAGTGTCAGTGCAGCTCCCTAGGAGTGTCAGTGCAGCACCTTAGAAGTGTCAGTGCAGCACACTAGAAGTGTCAGTGCAGCACCCTAGAAGTGTCAGTGCAGCACCCTAGAAGTGTCAGTGCAGTACCTTAGAAGTGTCAGTGCAGCACCCTAGAAGTGTCAGTGCAGTACCCTAGAAGTGTCAGTGCAGTACCTTAGATGTGCCAGTGCAGTACCCTAGAAGTGTCAGTACAGTACCTTAGAAGTGTCAGTGCAGTACCCTAGAAGTGTCAGTGCAGTACCTTAGAAGTGTCAGTGCAGCACCTTAGAAGTGTCAGTGCAGCACCCTAGAAGTGTCAGTGCAGCACCCTAGAAGTGTCAGTGCAGTACCCTAGAAATGTCAGTACAGCACCCTAGAAGTGTCAGTGCAGCACCCTAGAAGTGTCACTGCACCACCCTAGAAGTGTCAGTGCAGCACCCTAGATGTGTCAGTGCAGCACCATAGAAGTGTCAGTGCAGCACCCATTGCCAATAATATGGGGTGGTTTAAAGTTAAACAAAATGTTTAAACTGAATCATACTAGTTTTGACCAGCTGTGTCTAGAATTCAAGTTCTGAAATTTGACATTTCACACAAAAATGGTAAAAAATCCAAAGTATTTAGATAAATTATACTAAATATAAAGACTAGCTGATACATACTTGAATAGAGAAGTTAAGTACAAAACTTCATGTGTCAAAAATCGTCACATATTTCTAACATCCTTAATGTGGTGTCATTTAAATATCTGTTATGTGCAATACTGATACCTAAATAGTTTGGATGTATTCTGTATTCCTTTCTATTTAATTTGAGCTCTAATATGTCACTATACAGCCAATACTTTCTCTTTAATGTGAGCTATAATATGTCACTATACAGCCAATACTTTCTCTGCAGGAAGGTTTTAGATATATCATGTTGCTGTTTTAAAAAAAATACAGCTCAAATTAATTCTGTCCAAACCCTAGAACAAATTTCATTCTCAAAAAGTTAAGTCCCATAAGATCTGAGGGTAAAGAAAAGGATCAGAGCAAACGAAAATCAATCTGTCGACTGAAAGTATACAAGACAGAAGGTTGTGGTTAGACATGACGACCGACGCCACATTGGATGGACTTTAAGAAGAAGCCTGGAGATATTTAGCATCAGTTTGGCATATGACCCAGGCACATCATCTGTGGAAACTGGAAAAGCAAACAATATCAGAGCAAGCCCCACAAGCAGAAGCAATGATGAAGAAAACCAAGTTAAGCTATATTCCAGATCTACAAGCTGTGCTTACTTAAGAAATCTGGCTCACAAGCAGAATCCTTTCTAGAAAACAAGTATTTTGGCCAGATCAAATATTACAGTGGTTTAGACAGAACGGTAATGAAATACATGGTTGATAGAAGATGAAGCAAGGCTTGCACAGCATGATTGTGAACCCAGGACATGAAAGACACTTTAACGCCAACAAAGTTGAAGGCCTTGGATATGGTCAAAGGAAGTTTTCTCCATGGACTGTGATGAAAGCAATCATCTTCCAAGGAGTTGTTGCCTTCTGATGACATAAATAATTCTGCCAAGATTAAACACTATCGTTTTTTATCCTAATATATGGTAGTCCTAGTTGTAATGTTAATTTTTTATGGTAATATTCATTTTTTTAATCTAACAATATAAATTACAAACAAAGTTGTAATAATGATTTATTGCTACTAATAATAAGTTTCTTATCTAGCAACATATATTTCTGCAGTAACAACAGTAATTTCTATTCTTATCAGCCATCAAATCACGGCGGCCGGGTGACAAACTCCTTGTGGTCCGGGTTCACTCCCGGGGGTAGGCAGAAAAGCCACATTTCTCCCAGATTAATGGTACTTATTCATAGTACCAAGCCAAAGGGTTTTACAACTCATGGCTTCTGGATACGTTAAAAAAAAAAAAAAAAAATCAGCCAACAAAACTCAGAAAGAAAGTTACCTTTCTTGAAGCGTCCATTATTAGTTTTGGAAATATCACTCTGGTCAACTTGGGCACACTGAAAGACGTCACGTCGCTGGCTACAAACATGAGTGCCCTTGTGCTGGCATTCACAGTAGATGTCTCTCTGATCATGGGAAGTTGCCCCACAGAAACCATTGTATAGAGAATTCTCAGCAGTGACTCTAGGATGGACAAAGAATTGGTTCAATAAAAGGCCTAGGTTGCTGTGTTTCTATTCTTGTTCATCTTTTTTTTTCATTTATGTCCTCTCCTTTTGAGAAGCTGAGAATAGAATTGCCCTGCTTTGTCTATGCCTGCCTGTCTGTCTGCAATGTGCAGGGTATTTACTTTAAATGTTAATTACAAACAATTCTGAACTATAGGTATTAAAACTTGGCTCATTTCAGTTAACATATTCTGTCATTTCAGTTAATATATTCTGTCGTGTCAGTTAATATATTATGTCATTTTAGTTAATATATTTTGTAATTTTAGTTATATATTCTGTCATGTCAGTTAATATATTCTGTTATTTTAGTTAACATATTCTGTCATTTCAGTTAATATATTCTGTCATTTCAGTTACCATATTTTGTCATTTCAGTTATTATATTCTGTCATTTCAGTTAATATATTTTGTAATTTTAGTTATATATTCTGTCATGTCAGTTAATATATTCTGTTATTTTAGTTAATATATTCTGTCATTTCAGTTATTATATTCTGTCATTTCAGTTAATATATTTTGTAATTTTAGTTATATATTCTGTCATGTCAGTTAATATATTCTGTTATGTCAGTTAATATATTCTGTCATTTCAGTTATATATTCTGTCATATCAGTTAATATATTCTGTCATTTCAGTCATTATATTCTGTCATTTCAGTTAATATATTTTGTAATTTTAGTTATATATTCTGTCATGTCAGCTAATAAATTCTGTCATTTTAGTTAATATATTCTGTCATTTCAGGTAATATATTCTGTCATTTTAGATATATATTTTGTCAGTTAATATATTCTGTCATTTCAGTTAATATATTCTGCCATTTTAGTTATATATTCTGTCATGTCAGTTAATATATTCTGTCATTTCAGTTAATATATTCTGTCATATCAGTTAATATATTCTGTCATTTCAGTTAATATATTTTGTAATTTTAGTTAAATATTCTGTCATGTCAGTTAACTCTTTGAGTCCCAAGGAATGCATGATACGTTTATAGGTTCCTACCTAGAAGCCCAATGAACGCATGATGCGCCGATTTAATTACTTTCTTGACTACCCCCTGGGCCTGTGATGCTAAACCCCCTTGGACTCAAAGAGTTAATATATTCTGTCATTTTAGTTAATATATTCTGTCATTTCAGTTAATATATTCTGTCATTTTAGTTATATATTATGTCATGTCAGTTAATATATTCTATCATTTCAGTTAATATATTATGTCATTTCAGTTAATATATTCTGTCATTTTAGCTATATATTTTGTCATGTCAGTTAATATATTTTGTCATTTTAGTTATATATTCTGTCATGTCAGTTAATATATTCTGTCATTTCAGTTAATATATTCTGACATTTCAGTTAATTTATTCTGTTATTTTAGTTATATATTCTGTCATGTCAGTTAATATATTCTGTCATGTCAGTTAATATATTCTGTCACCTCAATTATCATGGCTTGATGTGTTCCTTTTATACTGATGACACTTAAACTGCAGAATGTCTTGCACCTAATGAAGATGGTCTAATTTCAGTCAACCAAATTAGAATTATCAGCTGACCTAACATGGCTGCAGTCCTTAGGATAAGGACTTCTACAAGGAAATATAACTTGTCTATTATAAGAGAGAGAGAAAATGATGCAGCCCCTACCTCCATGACAGACTGAAGTTGTTTGGTTTCCTTCCAGTCTCAGCGGAAACATTTCCATCTGCTAGCTGCAAGTCGTTGGAGTCTTTCCCATCAAATGTTCCACAAAGACCTAATGGCACAAGCATGGAGTGTATAAATGTGCTGCTTAGACATAATTGTAGTGTCCCTGAGTGTGAAAATTGTAGTATACCTGAATGTGATCAAGATAAGCTGTGCTGGCAGCATGTGTCTGTACAATGCTATCAGTGGCTAGTAGCTTGTCACATCTGCTTTGATACAAGATGTTTTCATTAACCCAGAAGTAATTATGATGTGTCAGCAAGTTGACCACACAGAAATGACATCAATAACAGTGAGAAAGCTGATGTCACAGAAATGTCATCAATCTTGTGATTGACAACAAGATGACCACACAGAAACATCAATAATTGCCAGCAAGAAATCTCATCAATGATTGTCAGCAAGCTGACCACATAGAAATATCATCATTCTTCTAATTGTCATCAAGTTCATCACACAGAAATGACATCAATAATTGCCAGCAAGTCGACCACACATAAATATAATCAATAATTGTCAACAAATTGACCACATAGAAATGTCATCAATCTTGTGATTGTCAGCACACTGCCCACACAGAAATGTCATCAATCTTGTGATTGTCAGCACACTGCCCACACAGAAATGTCATCAATCTTGTGATTGTCAGCACACTGCCCACACAGAAATGTCATCAATCTTGTGATTGTCAGCACACTGCTCACACAGAAATGTCAACAATCTTGTGATTGTCAGCACACTGCCCACACAGAAATGTCATCAATCTTGTGATTGTCAGCACACTGCCCACACAGAAATGTCATCAATCTTGTGATTGTCAGCACACTGCCCACACATCAATCTTGTGATTGTCAGCACACTGCCCACACAGAAATATCATCAATCTTGTGATTGTCAGCACACTGCCCAAACAGAAATGTCATCAATCTTGTGATTGTCAGCACACTGCCCACACAGAAATGTCATCAATGTTGTGATTGTCAGCACACTGCCCACATAGAAATGTCATCAATCTTGTGATTGTCAGCACACTGCCCACACAGAAATGTCATCAATCTTGTGATTGTCAGCACACTGCCCACACAGAAATGTCAACAATCTTGTGATTGTCAGCACACTGCCCACACAGAAATGTCAACAATCTTGTGATTGTCAGCACACTGCCCAAACAGAAATGTTATCAATCTTGTGATTGTCAGCACACTGCCCACACAGAAATGTCAACAATCTTGTGATTGTCAGCACACTGCCCACACAGAAATGTCATCAATCTTGTGATTGTCAGCACACTGCCCACACATCAATCTTGTGATTGTCAGCACACTGCCCACACAGAAATATCATCAATCTTGTGATTGTCAGCACACTGCCCAAACAGAAATGTCATCAATCTTGTGATTGTCAGCACACTGCCCACACAGAAATGTCATCAATGTTGTGATTGTCAGCACACTGCCCACATAGAAATGTCATCAATCTTGTGATTGTCAGCACACTGCCCACACAGAAATGTCATCAATCTTGTGATTGTCAGCACACTGCCCACACAGAAATGTCAACAATCTTGTGATTGTCAGCACACTGCCCACACAGAAATGTCAACAATCTTGTGATTGTCAGCACACTGCCCAAACAGAAATGTTATCAATCTTGTGATTGTCAGCACACTGCCCACACAGAAATGTCAACAATCTTGTGATTGTAAGCACACTGCCCACACAGAAATGTCAACAATCTTGTGATTGTCAGCACACTGCCCACACAGAAATGTCATCAATCTTGTGATTGTCAGCACACTGCCCAAACAGAAATGTCATCAATCTTGTGATTGTCAGCACACTGCCCACACAGAAATGTCATCAATCTTGTGATTGACAACAAGATGACCACACAGAAACATCATCAATAATTGCCAGCGAGAAATCTCATCAATGATTGTCAGCAAGCTGACTACATAGAAATATCATCATTCTTCTAATTGTCATCAAGTTCATCACACAGAAATGTCATCAATAATTGCCAGCAAGTCGACCACACATAAATATAATCAATAATTGACAACAAATTGACCACATAGAAATGTCATCAATCTTGTGATTGTCAGCACACTGCCCACACAGAAATGTCATCATTCTTGTGATTGTCAGCACACTACCCAAACAGAAATGTCATCTATAAATGCCAGTAAGATAACTATATAGAAATTTCATCAGTAATTTTGAGCAAAATAAAAATATAGAATTGTCATCAGTAATTTCCAGCAAGATAACTAAAAAGAAATGTAATCAATAATTGTAAGAAACAGTCTACATAAAAATGTCAACAATAATTGCCAGCAAGTTGACTGTATAGATAGTTAGTTAGCCGACAGATTATTATCACAGAACATCAAACCATCCAGTCAATAAGTGCTCAAACACTTCTTCAGTATTTTCTTAGCTTGTAGTGGTTTATGACTGCATTGAAATGAAGTCAGTAATTTCCAGCAAGAAAACTATATAGAAATATCATCAGTAATTGCCAGCAAGTTTACTGAATAGAAATGTCTTCAATAATTTTCAGAAATGTCATTACATAAAAATGTCATTAGAATACTGACATTTGCAGATTTTGTTCTTTTATATAGGAAGGAGAGAGATCGGAATCAAATAGCTGAAGAGTTACAGGCATCAGTAGATAAGGTGATTGACTGGTGTACAGAGATGAAAGCTGTAATCAACCCAGAAAAGGCAACCATCCTGTGGTGTTCTTTGGACAACAGGATTGTTAGCGCTGATGTTCCGAGCCTTAAAAAAAATGGCAGGGACATCAAAAGAGACAGCAGACTGGCATCACCTTTGATAGAAGTTTGTCTTTCAGGGATTACATAGTATGTGGTTGTGGTATCAGTCAAAATGTGATTGTGGTATCAGTCAATATGTGGTTGTTGTATCGGTCAATATGTGATTGTGGTATCAGTCAATATGTGATTGTGGTATCAGTCAATATGTGATTGTGGTATCAGTCAATATGTGATTGTGGTATCAGTCAATATGTGGTTGTGGTATCAGTCAATATGTGGTTGTGGTATCGGTCAAAATGTGGTTGTTGTATCAGTCAATATGTGATTGTGGTATCAGTCAGTATGTGATTGTGATATCAGTCAGTATGTGGTTGTGGTATCGGTCAATATGTGGTTGTGGTATCAGTCAATATGTGGTTGTGGTCAGTATGTGGTTGTGGTATAGGTCAATATGTGGTTGTGGTATCAGTCAATATGTGGTTGTTGTATCGGTGAATATGTGGTTGTGGTCAGTATGTGGTTGTGGTATCGGTCAATATGTGGTTGTGGTCAGTATGTGGTTGTGGTCAGTATGTGGTTGTGGTCAGTATGTGGCTATAGTATCAGTGCAGTATTTTCACAGCATACCTTCAGTTTTATTGAAACTGGCTCCAGTAGCTTGAACCCACACATTGAGAAAATTCTTGTAGCGTCTGCTCTTCTGAACACTAACATAGATAATATCTCCATTTGGAAGATATATCTGGTCAAATAATTGATACACAAATTATATTTGAGAATGTACACATTGATATTCTTAATTGGGTAATCACTTTATTTAATATACAAACGACTTAGTGTCTCCACCCCCATAATTGTCTCTTTACTCTTGAAATCACATCTGCCTGTCTCTCTAGTTCACATTATATGCCACCATAGATGTAGTTCATATTTCATAATGCATTATCATCTTACATATAGATAATGATTGTGTGTGTGTGTGTGTGTGTGTGTGTGTGTGTGTGTGCATGCATGCGTGTGTGTGTGTGTGTGTGTGTGTGTGTGATACATACACGTATGAATGGTGTGTGATATGGATGTATGAGTGTATGTGCATGCTTGAGAGTGTATAAGTGTGTGTGCATGTATAAGTATGTGCAAGTGTATGTATGCTTGGGTGTCTGTGTATGTATGGGCAGGTGCAGATTTTTGGGTGTTTATGTATGTATGTGTATCTGTGTGTGGTGTGTGTGCGTGTGTGCATGTGTGGATGCGTGCATGCATGTGTGTGTGTGTATGTGTTTATGTGTATGTTTGTATGTATGTATGTATGTCATCTGACTTTTGCAGACATTTGTTGACTAGGTTAGACTTTCTGGGAACATATCTGACCTCTACAGGCATTTATTGACTAGGTTAGCCTTTCTGCCAAGTAGACATTCAATAATGCCTAGGATAAAAAATGCATGCATGCACCTATACACACAAGCTACTCTCAGGTGGAAAGGATAAAGAGAAAACAAATGAGAGACGGAGGGGAGAGAGAAAGAGATACAGCCAGACAGACAGAGACAGACAGAATGAGAAAAATGACGGAGAGGCATAGAGAGAATAAGAGAGACAGAAATGAAAGGAAAGGGGGGGGGGGGAAGAGAGAGACAGACAAAGGGATGATAATATCTAAAGATTACCTTAACTTGTAAACTAAACTGAAGATATCACAACATTGCAACCTGATACTAAAAATGTAAGAGCTGCTTTTGAAATGTGTGCATGGTATCTTATTATCACTGATGTTTGGGCACATACTGCAGTACTGCCCTAACCTCTCCCAGCAAAGACTGTGGATCTGGCCCAGGGGATCCACATTGCGAGAGAAGCTATGGGGGACTGGTGGCAACCTTAAACGCACAATCTTATGTTTGACCCAGACAGGACTCAATGTTTAGCATGATTGATGTCAAATGCAGAAGAAGAAGAAGCAACTGATGTTTCTAGAAAGATAAACATTAAAGAAATCAGGCAGACATAAGACCAGGCTCACACATGGCCAGCCACTCACAGTGTATTCATTATTGACAGATTGATATATGCGAAAACCTGGCTCCAGTTCATCATTTCTGTAAAGGGTCAAGGTGAAAGGTTGAACACTGCTGTTGTCAGGTGAGCATTTATCCAGTACCACAACATCATCATTGACTCGAATGGCAACTGCACAGTTGCAGGATGCACGTTTGTTACAGGACTTGTAGAAGGCATGAACCTGAAACACAAACATATCTCCATGGTGACCAACAACAATGGATATACAGTATCCTCTAACAGTCAACTATAGACGACAGGTATTTGTTACATTCAGTTATTGACCAAGTGCTCAGTAGATCAACATTGACCAAGTGCTCAGTAGATCAACAAAAGTGTATGTGCATGTGTCTGTGTGTCTGTGTGTACAACTGCAACTCCTGTAGCTATTGCTAGTGGGCTGATAGCCATGAACTAACCATGCTTCTGTAACACGTGCCAGTGGTTGGAACTGAGACCACACATGCCAGTGGTTGGAACTTAGACCACACATGCCAGTGGTTGGAACTGAGAACACACAACTGTCAGTGGTTGGAACTAACACCACACAACTGTCAGTGGTTGGAACTGAGACCACACAACTGTCAGTGGTTGGAACTGAGACCACACAACTGTCAGGGGTTGGAACTGACACCACACAACTGCCAGTGGTTGGAACTGACACCACACAACTGTCAGTGGTTGGAACTGAGACCACACAACAGTCAGATACAGTCTCACAAGCACCACAAATTTCTCACCATTGGAAAGCCAGATGCAGTGAAGAGCTCAAGCTCCGATACAACAAGGATTTAGACTGACTGACTGACTTTCTACCCCACCAGGACATCACACAAGCGATAAACACCCGATGACACAAAGTGCCACCATGCGTATGAGGATCGCCGTGGAGAGGTCCCAGAAACCGCGTTCAGACATTTGGCCATATTTATGGCCTGCCTATATTGCGGCCCCTGGCAAAAGCCAGGGTGGGGCTTCAAATAACAAAAAATTTCGTCCTAAAAAGGACGAAACTGGATTACATAAAAGGATTTAGAAAGAATATTTACAGCAAATTTGCTAAAGCATTTCATGAAAACGGATGTCTGCTGTTATCCATACTGGTAGATGAAGGTCAGTGGAATTAATCAGCATCATGTACACAATAATACTTCTATCACAGAATCTGCCAGAGAAGGTCAGAGCTTACCACGTATGGAAGAGTCTTGTGTTTGTACAGGACAAATTCTCCTTCCAGGAATACGTCATAAGATCTGAAAGTCAAAGCAACATGTTTACAGCCATAGGTGAATATGTTTATATGTGTGTACATAATTACAAAGGTATAGATGAATCAGTTTTTATGTATCTATACAATTATACAGGAACTGATGAATCTGTTTAAATGTGTTTAGACAATTACAACTCATAGATGAATCTGTTTATATGAAGGCACACAGTTATACTGGAACTGAAGAATCAGTTTACATGGGTGTACACATTTACATAGATATAGATGAACCTGTTTACCTTCCATAAATCCATACTGCTCCATTCTTATTTTTATATTTGTTTTTCTCATAATAATTCTAAGGAGTAATTTTATGACATAATTTATTAAGTTGATTGCATGAAATTCTTCACATGTTCATGGTCTTTTGGGTAATGCAATAAATGCAGATTTCATCATATCACTGGGCATGTACCCAGTGTTTTAAATGTCATTCATCAGTTTAGTTAATTATTTCTACACCAAATTTCCCCAGTACTTCTGATTCTTTTACCGAAATTTCATCTGGCCCGTTTGACTTTCCTTTCTTCATGTTTAATAGCATCACTATTTTCTTCCTTTAGTATAGACGAACCTTCTAAATTTCTTTCTTCTGGTAATTCTGCTCTCTTTCCATCATATAAATCTCTTATGTATTCATTCTAGTTATTATATCATCTTCCTCCATTCGGATCTCTCCTGCTTGTGATTTCAGACATCCTGTGTTTACTCGTATCGTTCTTCCAGTCAGATCGTTCATTTGTTTGTGCACACTTTGTGCATCTTTACTATGAATGTGTTCAATTTTATTGCATTGTTCATTTAGCCACCCTGCTTTTGCCTCCATACAGTTATGCCTTATTTATTTATTTATGTTGTAATATTCTTCTTTGTCATTCATAAATTGTTTTCTGTCATTCATTAACTTTAAAATTTCTTTGATCATCCATTTCTGTTTAGCTGTTTGTCTTCTTTCTGGTAAAATCTCTTTGCTTGTTTGGTGATAACATTTTCTGTCTTTCCCAGTTCTGCCAGTTTTCTACATTCCACATTGCTTATTTAAAACTTTTAATTGTCATAACTTTATTACAATTGCCATCAGTAATCAGATGATGATATGGTGTGCAGACAGTCACGCCCTACCGGACCAGTCTGTCCTTGGACTTCCATTCATGTCATTCATTCATGTGATTCAGTCTGTGTTGCTTCATGAGATATCTTGAGAATATCATGTGATGGTGTCCCGTTGCCTGCCACATCCACATGGGCTATTTTAACCTGCACTTTTGACAGTAATGTCCCACTTTAAGAATGAGCGGGTGCCCTTCTCTGCCCAGCTGCGGAGTGATCCACTTATTCCGGTGGATCCTCAGTTCCCATATTTGCGTTAGACACACCATGGTGTGTTTCCCACCCTTCAGTGGATCCTCAGTCCCTATATCTGCGTTAGCCACACCGTGGTGTGTTTCCCACCCTCCAGTGGATCCTCAGTCCCCATATCTGCGTTAGCCACACCGTGGTGTGTTTCCCACCCTCCGGTGGATCCTCAGTCCCCATATCTGCGTTAGCCACACCGTGGTGTCTTCTTATTCTTCTTTCGTTCGCCTGAAATAAGTTATCTATATCAGCAGTTTTGTCTCTTGTATAAATTTCACTGTCGTTGTTAGTTCATTCAGTGGTTCATAGAGTTTACGTTCCACTGTTGTTCTTTCTGGCCAAAAGGTTTGCCTTAATGTGTCAAAATCGGTGCAGTCCTGGAGTACATGCTCTGCGGTCTGGGGCACATTTCCACAGGTGCACATGGCTGATACACCTATCTTGAATTTTGTGTACATGTGGTTACGTAATCGGTTGTGCCCTGTTCTGAGGCGGAAGATAATGACTTGTTCTGGTCTGTCCATAATAAAATAGTCGTCTTGTGCTGGGTCTGGTGGTTTCCTGATCGATTTAATGATTCTTTTCTTTTGGTGGTATGTGACTGGTACATCTGGCTGCTCTTTTTTCGCACCTTCCCATGCCAGTTGATCAGCTTTCTCATTTCCAGGCACTCCACAATGAGACGGTATCCACTGCATTACGACTCTTCGCTGAACGCTGAGTTGTGTCAGCAGTGTTTGCAATTCTGGTAGTTTCCTAGACTGGAGGGCTTCAAGTACTGATTTAGCATCTGTAAGCATTACCACATACTGTGAGCCAAGGTTGATATTTAGCAGTTTCTCTGTAGCTATCTTAATAGCCCGGGTTTCTGCATCGTAGTTATGGCAGTACTTCCCGGTTGGTACGCTGGACTTATCCCAAGTACCATTTGGGAATTCGATGTACACTCCAGCACCACCATTTCTAACTGCACTTTCTGCGGACGCATCTGTATAGACTCTGACCCATTGTTCTTGTGGGTATTCTTCATCAATATAACTGAGGGTGGCCATTTTGCGTTGTACACTATCTTGCTCTTTCTTGTCAAATATCCCTTTCACATTTGTCTGGATTTGTACCGTTAGTTTACAATTTTCTCTCCATGGGGTTTGTTCCGGAATACTTTTAAGTGGGCAGCCAATTTCTGGAAGGTCAGGAATTTGTCTACATATTCTTTTTGCTTGGTGTATAAAGCTGCTTCTTTTTAACCGTCCCAAGGCTAGGTTCTTAAATCTATTTTCCATCGGTAGATCTGGTATACTGAGGAACTTTTCCGGTGGATCCTCAGTCCCCATTTCTAACTGCACTTTCTGCGGACCCATCTGTATAGACTCTGACCCATTGTTCTTGTGGGTATTCTTCATCAATATAACTGAGGGTGGCCATTTTGCGTTGTACACTATCTTGCTCTTTCTTGTCAAATATCCCTTTCACATTTGTCTGGATTTGTACCGTTAGTTTACAATTTTCTCTCCATGGGGTTTGTTCCGGAATACTTTTAAGTGGGCAGCCAATTTCTGGAAGGTCAGGAGTTTGTCTACATGTTCTTTTTGCTTGGTGTATAAAGCTGCTTCTTTTTAACCGTCCCAAGGCTAGGTTCTTAAATCTATTTTCCATCGGTAGATCTGGCATACTGAGGAACTTTTCTGGTGGATCCTCAGTCCCCATATCTGCGTTAGCCACACCGTGGTGTGTTTCCCACCCTCCGGTGGATCCTCAGTCCCCATATCTGCGTTAGCCACACCATGGTGTGTTTCCCACACTCCGGTTGATCCTCAGTCCCCATATCTGCGTTAGCCACACCATGGTGTGTTTCCCACCCTCCGGTGGATCCTCAGTCCCCATATCTGCGTTAGCCACACCATGGTGTGTTTCCCACCCTCCACTGCTTGATGGTGCAGTTTGGGATTTTCCCTTTCATCAAATTTGAAACAAGGATGGCATTTCTCAAACTCTTTAGGAACTTTCTGGAGTGTGTACATAATTATAAAGGTAGTAACAGCTGATGACAGAATGAAATACAAAATTAAAAGAGAATAGGAATGGCCAAATGTATTATTATTATAAGGAAAAATAAAATAAAAATCTGAAGCTCATTAGAGCTATTGTCAACGCTAGGTACACCTAAACCTACTATATGTTAGTATAAATCTAGACAATGAAAGAACACTGTAAAACCTGCACGTTGGAAGAGTATGTTATGTTTCATGGAAACAAAGTTCTCAGCAGACAATGAAATGAAAGGTAATGGAAGAAAAAGAAATAGGACAAGTTAAATATGTGTGTTTGTAAACATATGTTTCATCAGGACACCTAAGACAAAGTTGTCTGCCCCTGTGATTGTGTATTTGGCACTGTGGATGTAGCTCAAATAATTGGTTACAATTTCATGTGGGCAGTAGCTTTTACCCCTTGAGACTAATTTGTTTATTTATACCCCACTAGGACATCACACGTCGGCTCTGTGGCTAAGTCGAAGCTAACACTTCGTAATGCCAGGGTACCGGGTTTGATCCCAGCTGCGGGCCATGCGCCTTGAGTTGGTTTCGACAGTGGTATCAGTGGGCTGACCATCCAGAAAGAAATGGCAAACTACTGGACGTAAATTTGCCTAGAGAAACCACACAACAGCCAGGGGCTGCTGGGGTTGGTTCTGCAACATCCTGTAAAGGATACGCAACTAACCTAGGACATCACACAAGCGATAAACACCCAATGACACAAAGTGCTACCATGTGGATGAGGATCACCCATGGAAAGGTCCCAGAAACCACGTTCAGCCATTAGACCATATTTATGGCCAGGCTATATTGCGGCCCCTGGCAAGAGCCAGAGTAGGGCTTCAAACAATGAAAAATTGCATCCCACAATGGGATATAGGCCAGAGTCAGCCGTGAGTACCATGAGACTCAAAGAGAAAAAAAACATGAAAATGTTTTGTAAACTTACTTCTAGCGAACAAAAATTCAATACAGGATAGATATAGGTAGACAGTAATGCAAAAGGGGTAGATAAGCACAAGAGATGCACAAATAGCCAGCTATCGACACAAAAAGGGGGTGGGGTGGTGGTGTGTGTGTGTGTGTGGAGGGGGGTGGGGGTTGGTAATGCTCAAGCGATAAACAATACTCTATCAAAGGGAGAGATAACCTCATCAACCATGTTGAAGCACGCAAAGGCCTGTCAGCAATTAGGGTCCTAGTCGCTACTAACTGCTTCTGCTTCTGTTCCAGGGACTTGTACTTTCTCCCATTGATTATGTTCTTGCCATCCTCACTGTCAGCCATAGATTGAAAGACTTAAGAGGGTGCCAAATTAGGCAATGTACATTATTCTGGGGTGCACTGACACCTCTTGTGTAGCAAAGAGGTACCTTCTTGACTTCCCTACCATGAACTACAGGATCAGGATCTGGAGGGCTTGTCCATAACTTAAAATAAGCTCAGATCTGAAACAATCTTTGCACCACATGCTTTTCAAGAAAAAGGGTAATAGGCTTACAAGGGGCAAATCATGGCTGGGTAGGGCAGAGGATGACATCATGCAGGTTTACATCCTTACAGATATCCATCCAGATGAGGAATGGATACCAGCATCCAAAGGGCCCAATCTCACATTCTCCTGTGTTGTGATGCTTGATAGGAGTTGACGGGAGCAGAATCCCACTGCTGTCAATGCCAAGGTCTGCGTGCGCGCTTATCAGTGATAAGTCAGATGAGACATGTGTGGTGATCTTCACAGACGGGTCCGTTATACAAGGACATAAGAATGAATGGACATTTATAGCTTACTCTTAAGGCTGAACAGTTCAAGAAGCCAACGGTGCCTTCTCCATGACTACCAGGAGCATGACAATGGTGGTGATGGTGATGACAGAAGCTTTTATGTGGTTAAAATCACAGGGCTATTTCCGTGTGTGTGTGCTGAGTGATTCTTAGAGCATGATCTGGCAGGTCGAGGCAGGCTGGTTACGCAGACAGTGGTTTGAGTCAATGCAAGACTCTCCTGTGTATGCAGTTATCTTCATATTCATCCAAGGGTATGCAGGCGTTGTTGGTAATGAAAGAGCTGATAGGCTGGCAGGTGCATTAATTGAAGATGGTTGGCCCATGGATCATGCAGACATTGTCATTGCCCTTAGAGAGATAGGATGTTCTGAGGATTTTGGAAGCAACGTGTCCACATCACTGCTAAGAGGAACTGGGAGTGAAAATTGGCACAGCCAAACATGAAAAGTATGCTGGACACACAAAGTCTTGTCAACCAGCACAGAACTGGCACTATAAACCGTGCGACACTGATGAATCAGTTTGAAATTTAAAGATATTAGACAAGAACATAACATGGACAAGATAAGCAAATGTGGATAAGAGAAAACATTTAAAATTCATAGATACCAGACAAGAACATAACATGGACAAGATAAGCAAATGTGGATAAGAGAAAACATTTAAAATTCATAGATACCAGACAAGAACATAACATGGACAAGATAAGCAAATGTGGATAAGAGAAAACGTTTAAAATTCATAGATACCAGACAAGAACATAACATGGACAAGATAAGCAAATGTGGATAAGAGAAAACATTTAAAATTCATAGATACCAGACAAGAACATAACATGGACAAGATAAGCAAATGTGGATAAGAGAAAATGTTTAAAATTCATAGATACCAGACAAGAACATAACATGGACAAGATAAGCAAATGTGGATAAGAGAAAACGTTTAAAATTCATAGATACCAGACAAGAACATAACATGGACAAGATAAGCACATGTGGATAAGAGAAAACGTTTAAAATTCATAGATACCAGACAAGAACATAACATGGACAAGATAAGCACATAACATGGGCAAAAGAAACAGTTTAAAATTCAGAGATGCCATACAAGAAGATAACATGGAGAGTATAAGCACATAACATGGGCAAGAGAAACAGTCTGACACCAAAAATGCTCACCTGCCATAGAAAGTTGTCACATGTGGATCATTGAGAGAGCTGCATGTTTCTCTTCTGTCCATGTCCACAATGGTTACCTGCATGTCAGAAGTTTGCCATCAGCCACAAATGTCATCAACTCTCATTAGTCGTTTTATATTACTTTTTTTTTTTTTTTTTAATTTGTTTATATTGTATGCAACTATTCTTTTTCAGTCTCTTTTATTTGATGAAGCCTAAAATTTGTAGTAATAAATTAATTATTACATGTTTTTCATGCTGGGAAATTTTTTTTGTCGTTGTTGACATTTCAAAATGCATTCTAAACTACGGCCAGTTCTCTTGTGTTCTTATTAATCATAATAAATGTATGCTTAAATAATCTTCTAGATTTGTTTCTAATGAAATCTGCAGTATCTGTAGTCTCTGAGACTGCACACAACAGGACACACACACACACACAGAGGCACCCATACAAACCTGAACACTTCCAATGTCTTCGGTTCTGTTATACACAGTAGTAGAGATGATGGTAGCAGAGACCACAAGTGTCCGTTTCTGGTCAGTGTCATGAAGGCTATCAACGACTCCTTTGACCTGCAGCTCCAGTTTCTGTCTCCAGGTGATTGTGGTCACTGAGATGCCACAGAAAGCTTCACTTTGGTTGACACCTGACCACACTAGGACAGCCTGACAGAGAATAAAGCACAAGCTGTGACAAGCTACCAGTTTTCTACAACGTATATACATATACTTATGTCCCAGTATATGGCTTGATACAGGTCTGTCACATATACTTATGTCCCAGTATATGGCTTGACACAGGTCTGTCACATATACTTATGTCCCAGTATATGGCTTGACACAGGTCTGTCACATATACTTATGTCCCAGTATATGGCTTGACACAGGTCTGTCACATATACTCCCTAGCTTAGGCCAATGTTATATAGCATAATTAACATAGTCTCCTTCAGTCCTTAATTTTTTATTTAGTGTTGCTTAAAAAACTGAGTAGCTGACTCTAACATTCTGTCTACAGCTTTACAACTTACACAGGAACCTTTCATCTAAAATCAATCCACTCTTGTTCAATACAAAATCTTCCAGATGTCTTTCTAAAAACTGTAAAGTTTAAAACTACTAAATCAAAACTGTTTCTTCAAATCTGATTTCCCCTTGCTTTTATCTGAACTGTGTAATGTTATAACTCCTCCAAACTTTTACCAACTCATTTGTTTCCCTTTCAAAGCTGTCCTTCCTTGACCTCGATAAAGCTTCATCCATTCATAAAAGCCCTAAGTTTAATCAGTCTATCAGTTTCTATATTTACTGTTCTTATTCTTATATCTTCCAATCAATGTCAATTTGCTCAGCTGAACAGTTCCATAAATATGAAAACTATGTCTCCCACTGAACAACTTTTGGAGTATCCAACAAATTGCATGGTGAATTAGTGATCTATGATTGCACAATCTCTCACCCTCACATCCAATATGGACTGTGTTCTTGGCATTGACTCCACACAGAATAGAACCACAGCAACACTTTACTAAGTTCAAGGTGTTTTCTGGGTGCTGAAGAACTGCATGGCTTTAGGGTAGACAGTCATCAAGGAAGACACTTGTCGTTGCTGGGGCAAAGCTTGGCTGATGGATGTAATGTCCCAAGTCATTTCCCAAACACAGAGTGAGAAGTGCTGATGGGGTGACTGTTTATTTATCCTCACATAACTGCATATCTATATGGGTTTAAGTAAAACTATAAAGAATAATTATTGCTGGAGCTACGGAGTACATGCAGTGTGCTTGATACCTTCTTCATTGGTCAATGAAGATAGAGTAGGAATTATAAAACATGGACAGGGTGATGTAAGAAAAAAGAGGAAGTGGAGGGCAGGTGTCAAAAAACTAGATTTAAAAAAAGAGTGGGTGGGATATTTTTGGGAGTAGGTTACTGGAACTCTCATAGTGCAACACAAAGAAGACCCACTTTAGAAAAATTAGTTTATGATTTTGACATACTAATGCTGCAAGAGTTTATGATGGCTCCAGCATACAGTAGATACGTCAGTTCACCAGGGCAAGGAGAACTTGGGCAAGCTGTATTAGCAAGAAAGGGAATACAACATTTGGCACTTGATATGAATCAATGGAATCAGGGCAATAAAGAGCTTCAAGGGAGACAGACTGAGGTAGGTGGCTCTAAGTGGAACATTGTAAATGTTTATGCACATGGAGAGTCCTTTGTTACAAATGAGCAGTGGGATTAGATAATAGATAAATAAGCAACTGCTAGGTGATTGAGTCCTTATGTTTAGGGACTTTGAACGCACATGCCTATAAATTTGTCTGGGAAAAATAGACAAGAAAAAGCCTTGGAACATGTTCTTGTCAAATCAGAGTTTGTCTGTATTAGTGATGGTAAAGCCACAAGAATGGCAGTGAGGCTAGGTGATGCAGACACTGCTATTGATTTTGCACTGGTCTTGCAGATCGCAGAAGCAGACAATGTATGGAGTGTACTTGGTGACCATGGAACCAACCACCTGTCGTGTACTGTCCTGTTGTCTAAATTGGGCAAGACCAGGGTAAGGAAGACGCATAAAGTCTTCAGATATGACAAGACAGACTTACTTATTGAGAACATCAGGAGAAAGTGAGGTCAGGGGCCATCAGGAGTAGATTAATCCAGCCACCATGATGGACTCCAGAGGTGGAGCAAGTTTGAAATAAAAAGAGCAGCAATGAAAGAATGGCAGCGAGTACGAAGGTTGCCTCTTTTTTTCGCAAGAGGAGATGAGAGCAGTAGAAAAGGAAAAGAGAACCAAGATGGCTGAGTTCAAATTGTATGGCACAAATGCTAAAAAAGTAAAATGGAGCAGTTTGTGAATGCGACTGGGTTAGATAAAATGTTCTGGAAACTGCATAGGCAGATGAGCTGAAAGGAGTGGCCCCACCTCAGTTTGTGAATGAGACTGGGGGAGATAGAACAAATGGCTAGTTCTGGAAACTGCATGGGCAGGTGAGCTGAAAGGAGTGGCCCCACCTCAGTTTGTGAATGAGACTGGGGGAGATAGAACAAATGGCTAGTTCTGGAAACTGCATGGGCAGGTGAGCTGAAAGGAGTGGCCCCACCTCAGTTTGTGAATGAGACTGGGGGAGATAGAACAAATGGCTAGTTCTGGAAACTGCATGGGCAGGTGAGCTGAAAGGAGTGGCCCCACCTCAGTTTGTGAATGAGACTGGGGGAGATAGAACAAATGGCTAGTTCTGGAAACTGCATGGGCAGGTGAGCTGAAAGGAGTGGCCCCACTTCAGTTTGTACAATTTACTGTGTAAATAACATGGTTCTGACAACTGACAGTTTGGGTTTCAGTTTGTTCAGACAATCTTTGCCTGTGAGTATCTATCTTTTGTGTGTTTGTTATATAGCATGAGGTTGGAGCAATCACTACAGCTCTGAAGTGGATAGTAGAAAATAGGGTTAAGGGGGGAATTATTGTGTCTGATTCTCCGTCGCTACTGCAGACGACTTAAAATGGATAAATGTGGCATGAGTAGATCCCAGGTATCAGCACATCAACATTACAGGGACTTGTGCAGAGATACTTTCTGGGCCATGCAGGAGTGCAAGGGAATGAAACAGCAGATTTTTTTTGGCTAGAGAAGTTTTGAGAACACTTGCAGTGGTCAAAGAAGACATTCTTAAGACAATTTGTGGACTAATATTGATAGAAGATACAACATTAGAGAGAAAAAACATGTGTAAGAATGTGTCAACCTGGAATTAGAAGAGGATTTGGCAAGGAGAGACAGATGAGGAGAAGAGAATGATGTATTTATAATCAGTGTGCTTTGGGAACACATGTAAACCTTAACTGTTTCAATCTGCATATCTTGTGTTCAGTCAGCTTCTAGGTTGGAAACTATGGACATCTGATGTGTTCCTTGGGACTGAAAAAGTTCAGACTTTTGCTGTGAGAAATGGAGCATCTGTGGGTATTATTAGTGTGCTATGACATTGATTCTGATATCAGTAATCCTTGTTATGTACGTCTTAACATTACTGACACAATTAGGAAAGTCTTAAAATTGTCTTATCTTACCTGAGGGATTATTCTGCCATCAAGACACTTGCTTTCCCTGGCAGCCCGAACCTCTACCAGTATTCTGACCTGACATGAGTCTCTAGCCATGGGTGGACAGAAGAGTCGTGGTGGTATATTGCTGACCACAGATATGGTTCCAGTGTCACCTTCAGAGATGACCAGTTCAGTTGTCTGAAGCTGTCCAATGACAGAGAAGAATCAATTATAAAACAAAGTATTCAGTAGTATGAGATTATAGAAATTACAGCATCAGTTACAGAATAACATTTATTCATTTATAATACAGAAATCATATTTATAATTGATGTAGCAATATATGACAGCTGTGTGTTAGTTAGCTATTTAGTTAGTTAATTGACAGATTATCCTCACTGTAATTCAAACAAGTGCATAAGCGTTTAGATCCTATCTCAACTATGTTCTTTAGTGACTGCTAACAGCTGTATATACCATATCATAAATAATTTAAAAAAAAGATACAAACAATAATAAACAGATAATAATAATAAATAGTAATAAGATCAATCATGTATACACTTGAACAAGTAATCCAGATCATCACAGTGAAACTAACCTCAACCTTGACAACCAAAAATTCACTGACAGAGTCTGCTCCCCTTGTGTTGTTACAGGAAGTAGCTGAGCACACCCACACTGAGCAAGAGAGCTGAGAACAAATGATGGCCACTGATTTACTAGTCGGTTACAAGAAACTAAATCATTATTTCACAATCACATAAAGGATAACACACTAAGGCACACACATTACCTATGCATTACGCAATCACATGCAGAAAAGCATTTAAAAACACACATTAACTATGTATTTAACAATTATACATAGCATATATACACTAACACATTTTATTTAATAGTATATTCACAGTGAATATAGCAAACCTATAAAAGCCTCTAGAACTGCCATTAGAACATTTTTGTGCCATCTTTACTAGCAACAAGTTACGACTCCTTCTAGAACTTCTATATGTCATGTCGATGTTATAAAATATGTGTCTGACTCACCTTGCTGCCATACATCTAACATGTGTCACTTAATCAACTTTCTGCCATATATCAAACATGTGTCAATGACTCACCTTGCTGCCATACATCACACATGTGTCACTGATTCACCTTGCTGCCATACATCACACACGTGTCACTGAATCACCTTCCTGCATACATAAAACATGTGTCACTGACTCACCTGGGTGCCATACATGAAACATGTGTCACTGATTCACCTTATTGCTATACATCAATCATGTGTCACTGACTCACCTGGGTGCCAAACATCAAACACGTGTCACTGAATCACTTTCCTGCATACATAAAACATGTGTCACTGACTCACCTGGGTGCCATACATCAAACACGTGTCACTGAATCACCTTCCTGCATACATAAAACATGTGTCACTGACTCACCTGGGTGCCATGCATCAAACATGTGTCACTGATTCACCTTATTGCTATACATCAATCATGTGTCACTGACTCACCTGGGTGCCATACATCAAACATGTGTCACTGACTCACCTTGTTGCTATACATCAAACATGTTTAACTGAATCACCTTGCTGACATACATCAAACATGTTTAACTGAATCACCTTGCTGCCATACATCAAACATGTGTCACTGATTCACTGTGCTGCCATACATCACATATGTGAAACTGACTCACCTTTCTGCCATTTATCAAATATGTGTCAGCAACTATTCTTGCTGCCATACATCAAACATGTGTCACTGATTCACCTTGCTGCCATATGTCATACATGTGTCACTGATTCACCTTGCTGTCATACATCAAACATGTGTCACTGACTCACCTTGCTGTCATACATCAAACATGTGTCACTGACTCACCTTGCTGTCATACATCAAACATGTGTTACTGACTCACCTTGCTGTCATACATCAAACATGTGTCCCTGACTCATCTTGCTGCCATACGTCAAACATGTGTTACAGATTCACCTTGCTGCCATTTATCAAACATGTGTCACCGACTTACCTTGCTGCTATGCCTCAAACCTGTGTAAATAATAACTCACCATGCTGCCAAATGTTAAACCTGTGTCAATAACTCACCATGCTGCCATATGTCAAATCGCCCAGATAGTTTTCTGTCAGAACTGGAATATCGGTGTCTTCAACTGGTCCAAGAAGCGTCTTGTTGTCCATGAAGAAAGTGATGTAGTACAGGTAAGATAAATCTTTTAATCGGTCAAATTTACAAGTGAAGTTCACTTCTTCCATCACCTCATCGACTGAAATTGTCAGCTCTGGTTTTTTATGAATTTGTGGGTATCCTGGACACAAAATGAAAGTGTTCATTAAGTCATTATTGAAAAAAATAATTTGTTTTCACCCTTTTGCTGCTATGGACGAGATAGCTCGTCTGCCCGGTAGACTGCTAAGGACGAGCTAACTTGTCTTCTGTTTTCTGTGCCCACACTGCTAGGGACGAGCTAACTTGTCTTCTGTTTTCTGTGCCCACACTGCTAGGGACGAGCTAACTTGTCTTCTGTTTTCTGTGCCCACACTGCTAGGGATGAGCTAACTCGTCTTCTGTTTTCTGTGCCCACACTGCTAGGGACGAGCTAACTCGTCTTTGACTTTTCTTTCAGATTGCTAAGAACTGTAATTCTCGGGGGTGACACATTTACATACAATGAAAACACATATCACGTTGTTTAGGTGTATTTAGATGCATTTCACATTATCCTGTTGCTTTGTTACCATAGAAGCATGGTCGGTGAACGGTATATTTTTTCCCCTAAAATATATTTCTGGTTTTGAGTTAGTCTACTTTTATTTTTTTAATACAAAATAACAAGAAAATTGGTTAATTATAGTTAATGAAGAATTAATGGAGTTTCTTTTGAGGAGTAATAGTAAGGATCACTTTGAAACGTGTGAGTTATATGAGCTGGGCTATCTTCACGGCACGCCGTCGGACATGTGTACTTCTAGCCAAGAGCAAGACTGACCATATGACCCAGCTATCTACATTGACTGGATTTGAAATGAATCCCAATTATCAAAATGAAGATATGGTCACGTACTGACATAATAATTAATACTAATGTTTCCAATATACTATACAACTGACAAAACTGTGTCTGTCTATCAAAGTGTACGAACTATACAAGACACAGTACCATAAAACCCTTCTTGTTGGTGACTTCAACGGACACTCGCCACGTTGGGGTTACCCTGACTACAATAGCACAGGGAAGTACATCGAAGATACTTGTGAAACAACTAACCTATTAGTGCTGCAGGACACAGAGTCTACACCTACACTGTTACACAGGGCCCACCTATCTCTCAGCAGACCAGACCTGACCATCTGCTCATCCGACTTAGCAGACGCAAGCTATCCCCAAGTCCTGGACGACATAGGAAGTGACCACAAACCTATACTCACAACTGTAAGCACCACCCCTAAATTACGCTTCATGCAGAGAACCCGTTGGAATTTCCGAAAAGCAAACTGGAAACTATTTCAGGAAACATCTGACTGCCTCTTGGGAAGAATTGACAACAGCTGTGTGGAAACTTTTTGTGAAGACATAACACAAGCAATCCTGAATGCAGCGTCGAAAGCCATCCCAAGGGGCAGCCGGAAGGCATATAAACCTTTTTGGAATCAAGAAATTCAAAATACTATATCTGAAAGGAATAAAGCAAGAATATTTCTCGAAACTGCACGTTCAACAGAAGCAAAGATCCAATACAATAAAGCATGTGCCAGAGTAAAGCTTGTAGTTAATAAGGCTAAAAGAGATAAATGGACAGAAACTTGCTCCAACTTAGACCTTAGACAGAATGGAAATAAAGCATGGACTTTAGTTAAAAACCTCTCCGGAGAAAGTAGAAGGGTGAACCCAAAACCAGTGACAGATGGGAGTAAGACAATCACTGAAGACAAGAAGAAAGCAGAACATTTCAATCATTATTTTGCCTCGGTTAACAGAGCAGGTAAGCTGTCAGAACTCGATAGAACACAGCTCTCTCAGTTGAAGAAACAAGAGAGAGCTCCAACAGCCAGCGACTCCCTTTTTGAAAATGAATTTAGCATGGATGAATTAGAGCAAGCCCTGAAGAAATTAAAACCTAGAAAATCTCCAGGCCCAGATAAGATCCACAACGAAATGCTGCTACATCTTGGCCGGTCTGGGAGAGAAGTAGTTCTCAGGCTTATTAATAAAACTTGGAGGTCAAGCAAACTTCCAAGGGCATGGAGGAATGCATATATCGTCCCCATCCTTAAAACCAAAAAGCCCCAGATGACCCCAAAAAGCTACCGCCCGATATCCTTAACATCATGCTTGGGCAAAGTTGCAGAAAGAATGATAAACAGGCGCTTATATTGGTTCCTTGAGAGTTCTGGTGTTCTATGCCATGAACAGGCAGGCTTCAGAACCAACAGCTGCACAGAAGACCAGCTGTTCAGACTGACACAAAGAATACATGATGGCTTCCAGAATAAGAAACACACAGTGGCAGTCTTTGTCGACCTCCAGCAGGCCTATGACAGAGTATGGAGAAAAGGTCTCCTGATGAAGATGATGAGCATAGGAATACATGGCAGATTGTATAACTGGGTGAAATACTTCCTGATAGATAGAACAATCCAGACTAAGATGCACAACGCAATCTCTTCTAAAGAAGTCTTGGAGGAGGGCTTGCCACAAGGCTCATCATTGAGCTGTACACTATTCCTAATCTTTATCAATGACCTGCCAGAACAAATCAAGGCCGAAAAAGCCTTGTACGCTGATGACCTAGCAATATGGCAGAGTCATGAAAATGTGGAAAGTGGAGCCCAAAGACTGAATGGAGACCTTAGAAGACTGCATGATTACTGCCAAAGATGGAAACTCAAGATTAACTGTGCAAAGACGGTCTACACAATCTTTACCAAAAGCCACCAAGTAGCAAGGAAGAATATTAACCTGAGGTTAGACAAACACCAAGTGATGAAAGAAGAGCATCCCACATACCTTGGAGTCACACTTGACCCGCAGCTCAGCCTCAAGAACCATATTGAAAACATCAGGAATAAGGCATTGAGGCGGTTACAGTTATTAAAGAGACTTGGTGCAGGTACATCATGGGGATCAGACAAGGAAACTCTAAGGGGCTTATACCTAGGATATGTTCGCTCTGTGAAAGAGTACAACAACTCACTGCTTACAACTTGTTCCAAAACTAACCTAGAGACTCTTGACAGAGTACAAAATAATGCCCTCCGATTAATCTGCGGAGCTATGCAGTCTACACCAACTGCTGCATGTGAAATCCATACAAATGTGGAACCCCTCGGGTTGCGGAGAGAAAAAGCCACTTTAGAAATTTATGAAAGATGCGTTAGGAAAAATCGTAACCATCCTAATAGACATCTTGTAGAAAACTGGGAATCCAAACAAAGAATAAAGCACAAATCGGTTTTACACTGTGTTAATGAAATTCAGGACAGATACCACCTCCCAGAAAGACGTCAAGGAATTCAGAATGTTGCAAAAAACTTACCACCACATGCTCGCTTTAAAGCTCCAGAAGTCCAAACTAAATTGGTAGGCGAGGAAACCAAACAGTCCGACCCAATCGCTCTTATGAACTCATCACTAAAGACCGTTGATTCTTACCCCCAAGAATGGATACATGTTTATACTGATGGATCAGCATTTAAAGCTACCATTAAAGCAGGTTACGGAATCTACATAGGTTATTCCGATGGATCTGTTGAAGAGATTTTTGATGCATGCGGGGAATTCTGTTCAAACTATGAAGCTGAAATAATTGCACTGGAAACAGCAGTATACCACCTAAAACTGTAATGGATGTTTACCCCTCAAAGGTCCAAAATATTGTCATCTTCACAGATTCAATGTCTGCCCTTCAAGCTCTGGAGGGCAATGAACGCTGCAGAACTGACATAGCCAAGATAATCCTGGATGCCGATCAGCTTATTACCTCATACAACATCAGAATAGTGATGCAGTGGATTCCAGGTCACTCCGGCACACCAGGTAATGACAGAGCTGACAGATTGGCAAAGAAAGGAGCAACACAAGAACAACCACCTACAGCGACAACCCTCCAGACAGCAAAAACACTGATAAGAGCTATAAACAAAGAGACTTGGTTGAATAGATGGGCCATGGGAGACACTGGAAGAGAGGTTTATAGACATATGTCTGGCCCTGATCCTAATGACAGCATTAACCATCTAACAAGAAGGGACCAGGCCACCATCTTCAGACTTAGAACGCAACATACTCCACTCAATGGACACCTAAACAGAATACAGCCACAACACTCCCCAGAGTGCCAGCTATGTAACTACCCCTACGAAACTGTTGAACACCATCTCTTTGAGTGCCCAAAACTCAGTGAGACAAGAAGAACGCTACTCCCTCCGAGACCAGACAAGTGGAACACCTTGTACGGAGGAAAAGAACAGCTTGTGAAAGCATGCAAATTCCACTACATGGCATTGGGCCAAAGGGCGAAAGCTCATGCGAAGCTGGATCGATAACAACAATCAAAGTGTACAATATTGTTTCTATTTTCCGTACCAGTTTTCAAATGAATTTCTAGTGTAGTTAGTATCACGTCTGCCTTACAATTGAAAAGTCCTGCGTTCAATTCCTATATGACATATTTTTTTATAACTATTATTTTTAATGTAAATTCAAAATGTAAGCTCTTAGCTCTTTCAGCAACAGATCACCGAAGTATTAATTAATTCAACATCCTGTCACATGCGTTCAGGTGCATTTAGATGCGTTACACGTTATCCTGTTGCTTTGTGAAGCATGGTTGATATACTGTTCATTTGTGTGGAAAAACACTCCTGTTGCCCAATTTCACTTAATGTTAGTAAGAGAAATTCTACAGAAAAATTGCAAGGAAAAGAGAAAAAGTGTAGGAGGACAAAAAAGTGAAGATCTGCCACTTTGTTTATTACAAAGGCATTACCCTTCATTAATAGAGTCCGTAACATCACAGAAGAAATTTCCAACAAGAAAGTGTGTGGTATGCGCAAAAAGCAAAAAACGACGGGAAACCAGATATATGTGCAAGGAATGTGATTTGGCATGGTGTGTCGCACCTTGTTTTGAAATATTTCACACAAAAAGATATTAATAATAATAAAAACCATGTTTTTGCTTACTAAAGTGTTTTGTGTTTGCTTTGTAAGTTTGTACTTTCAGGTAAATGTAGAAGACAAGTTGTAATTGTCTCAGTGGCCCCCTACATGACAGCGATGTGTCTGTGCATAGATGGCTGATTATCACAGACTGACTGAAGCCATACAGATGTGGACATACAAATGAATAAATCATTTTTTCATGGAAACAGTTAACAATCAAATACATATTTTTTGAACAGACCCGGAATGACCATAGATTTGTTTTTTAAGAAAAACATTTAAAATTAAATAGATATTACAGCCACATTTCAAGAAAGCATTTCCAGAGAAAAAACGTTACTGACTTACCAGTGACTATGCCAACACTATCAATGACTCTCTTGTCAGCGTAGATAATGTGTACAGTCTGAAGCTCAAACAATAGTGAGAGGATGGAATCTGATGGTCGTCTGCCAACTGTGAGATCGCATGCTCTTTTCTTCTGTGGAATATTTCTGCGAGTGCTAGGTTTGTCTGTCTGTGTCACCACTTGCTGGTCGACATAAACCTAAGTCAAGAAATTTGTAAATTTATCATTTTCAGAAAGCTCTATTGGGGAGTTACAAAGATTTTAACAATATTTTCTTCAACAAATACTAACTCCACTAACAATCCTGGTCTCTGTATGAATATTTTGATGTGTGTTTAACTTTACACAATTGTCTTTGAATACTAAATGCATGCAACACCCTTCAAGTGACTCCTAAAAGAATTGGCTTAATATAGTTTGTGGAGCAAATGCTGCTTCTATGAGAATAGTTTATTCTAGACACCTGTGAACACTTGCACATACCTGGAGGCCTGACTGAAAGCTCCAAGAAATATCCAACTCCAGAAAGTGCTCCGTGTCTATACTCTGTAAGTACACAGTCCATGCCAGGGTTTGGGTGGTCACCACAAAGAACAACCTCTTCTGCCGGTAGAAGACAGCCAGACCAGTGGCATCTGCGTCATTGCCACAGCTGTTCAGCAAGTAGCCATTCTCCACCAGCTGGTTAAATTTGATGAAGAGTGAAATTGTAAAACCAAAATGGCACTGATCAAAGTCTCTCAGGCATGGAGTTGAGATGGAGCCTAGACTGATTGCTCCACTTCCTCCGAAGATCACAGTGAACTTTCCTTTGTAAGTGACATTAGTTAACTGTCCATAGATCAACAGCCAACCGGCTGTGCTTGATAAGTGTGTCTGATTGATGCTAGTGAAAATAAGACGTGTCTCTTCAATCCTGCTGGCTGAAAGACAATAACAGCAGGTTAGTCAACGTGTTCAGTGAAAGCGTAAGAACTGGTCTTACCATATACAAACATATGGCACAACCGTATTTGATTGCCCATACAACAAAAATTTTAACTTTGTCAGAGAAAAGCATTTATATCTTCTTCTTCTTCTGCGTTCGACATCAATCATGCTAGACATTGAGTCCCATCTGGGTCACAAATTGGATTGTTCATTTAAGGTCACCACCGGTCCCCCATAGCTTCTCTTTCAATGTGGCTCCCTTGGGCCAGATCCACAGTCTTTGCTGGGAGAGGTAAGGGTAGTACTGTAGTATGTGCCCAAGGGCCTGTCGTTCTGCTCCACAATCACAGGCAGCAGATTCTTTTATGCCTATCCTGTACAGGTGTGCTCAAAGACCACAGTGTCCAGTTCGAAGTCTAAAAATTGTAGTTTGTTCTTTCCTGTTGAGTTTGTTTATGCTGTCACTCTCTGGTCTGTAATCTCCATTCTGCCTTCGCCACTCCCACTTGAAAGACTGCTTTAGCGCTGTTTTAGTTTCCTTGTAGCTGTGTGGTGGATGAGGTTGTGGAAGATTACTCCCAGCTTTTGCCAACTCATCTGCTCTCTCATTTCCTTGAATACCACAGTGGGCTGGTATCCACTGCAAGATTAGTTCTGCTTCCTTGGAGAGTAAGCCAATGTTGGTCCTTAGATCCATTTATATCAATAATTATGATTATAAGTATAGCTATATGTCTTTTTTCTGTTTGTTGATCTCTTTTTCTGTCTGCCTCTTTATTATATATAATGTGTTTGAATTCAGCTCAGAGTGGAAGAAAATAATTGATCTTGGATGGACATTAAAAAAAAAGCATCAGAAAATGTTGCTGAATATAAATGTGACCAGTATGTTAGTTGTGACATCACCTATTAAGTGCTCATTATCTGCCTCCATGGTCTGTGGTGACATCACCCCCTGAGGGCTGATGATCTGCCCTCACTATCTGTGATTACATCACCCTCTGAGGGCTGATGATCTGACTTCACTGTCAGTGGTGACATCACCTATTAAGCGCTCATTATATGCCTCCATGGTCTGTGGTGACATCACCCCCTGAGGGCTGATGATCTGCCTTCACTGTCTGTGATGACATCACCCAAGGAAAGCTGATGATCTGCCTTCACTATCAGTGGTGACATCACCCAAGGAGGGCTGATGATCTGCCTTCACTGTCTGTAATGACATAACCCAAGGAGGGCTGATGATCTGCCTTCACTGTCTGTAATGACATAACCCAAGGAGGGCTGATGATCTGCCTTCACTGTCTGTAATGACATAACCCAAGGAGGGCTGATGATCTGCCTTCACTGTCTGTAATGACATAACCCAAGGAGGGCTGATGATCTGCCTTCACTGTCTGTAATGACATAACCCAAGGAGGGCTGATGATCTGTCTTCACTGTCTGTGAGGGCTGATGATCTGTCTTCACTGTATGTAGTGACATCACCCCCTGAGGGTTGATGATCTGTCTTCACTGTGTGTAGTGACATCACCCCCTGAGGGCTGATAATCTGTCTTCACTGTCTGTGGTGACATCACTCCCTGAGGGCTGAGGATCTGTGTTCACTGTCTGTAGTGACATCACCCCCTGAGGGCTGATATTCTGTCTTCACTGTCTGTGGTGACATCACTCCCTGAGTGCTGATGATCTGTCTTCACTGTCTGTGGTGACATCACCCCCTGAGGGTTGATGATCTGTCTTCACTGTCTGTGGTGACATCACCCCCTGAGGGTTGATGATCTGTCTTCACTGTCTGTGGTGACATCACCCCCTGAGGGTTGATGATCTGTCTTCACTGTCTGTGGTGACATCACCCCCTGAGGGTTGATGATCTGTCTTCACTGTCTGTGGTGACATCACCACCTGAGGGTTGATGATCTGTCTTCACTGTCTGTGGTGACATCACCCCCTGAGGGTTGATGATCTGTCTTCACTGTGTGTAGTGACATCACCCCCTGAGGGCTGATAATCTGTCTTCACTGTCTGTGGTGACATCACCCCCTGAGGGCTGATAATCTGTCTTCACTGTCTGTGGTGACATCACCCCCTGAGGGCTGATGATCTGTCTTCACTGTCTGTAGTGACATCACCCAAAGAGGGCTGATGATCTGTCTTAACTGTCTGTGGTGACATCACCCTCTGAGGGCTGATGTCTGTCTTCACTGTCTGTCATGACATCACCCCCTGAGGGCTGATGATTTGTCTGCACTGTCTGTGTCTACAAAGGCAGTGGTGGAGGAGGGTGGTAGTAGTGAAGGATAGTGGTGGTAGAGGCGGGTGGTCGTTAGCCAAGGGATTTAAGGCTGCAACGCTAGTGCAGTTCCCAAGAACTGTGTAGGTTAGGACTTTTATTTTGCACTCAGCATAAACCAATCTCCATCTTTGCACTCAGCATAAACAAATCTCCCTATTTGCAATCAGCATAAACAAATTTCCATAATTGCACACTCAGCATAAACAAATCTCCATAATTGCACACCCGGCATAAACAAATCTCCATAATTGCACACTCAGCATAAACAAATCTGCACATTTGCACACTCAGCATAAACAAATCTCCATCTTTGCACTCAGCATAAACTAATCTGCACATTTGCACACTCAGCATAAACAAATCTCCATATTTGCACTCAGCATAAACAAATCTCCATAATTGCACACTCAGCATAAACAAATTTCCATATGAAATCAACCCCCCCCCCCCCCCCCCCCCCAACCCTGTCTAATCTGTAAAGTCATTAAAAATTTGAAGGTAAAAAAAAACTGACCTGAAATTTTAGTCCAGTTAGTGGCAGAATAAATTGGCTGACAGAGTAAGTTGGGAGCACCAGGGTTGTAGTAGCCATCTGCATAGCACTGACCTCCAATGTGACACACGTCAGTCTGTCAGAGAAACATTTGACAAGTCAGTGATGAAATATAAGCACTAACACTAACCTCTGATTTGACACACATCAGTATGTCAGAGAAACATTTGACAAGTCAGTGATTACATATAAGCACTAACCTCTGATTCAACACACATCAATCTTTTAGAGAAACATTTGACAAGTCAGTGATTTCATATAAGCACTAACCTCTGATTCAACACACATCAATCTTTTAGAGAAACATTTGACAAGTCAGTGATTTCATATAAGCACTAACCTCTGATTCAACACACATCAATCTTTTAGAGAAACATTTGACAAGTCAGTGATTTCATATAAGCACTAACCTCTGATTCAACACACATCAATCTTTTAGAGAAACATTTGACAAGTCAGTGATTACATATAAGCACTAACCTCTGATTCAATACACATCAGTATGTCAGAGAAACATTTGACAAGTCAGTGATTACATATAAGCACTAACCTCTGATTCAACACACATGACTCTGTCAGAGAAACATTTGACAAGTCAGTGATTTCATATAAGCACTAACCTCTGATTCAACACACATCAGTATGTCAGAGAAACATTTGACAAGTCAGTGATGAAATATAAGCACTAACACTAACCTCTGATTCGACACACATCAGTATGTCAGAGAAATATTTGACAAGTCAGTGATTACATATAAGCACTAACCTCTGATTCAACACACATCAATCTGTCAGAGAAACATGTGACAAGTCAGTGATTACATATAAGCACTAACCTCTGATTCAACACACATCAATCCTGTCAGAGAAACATTTGACAAGTCAGTGATGAAATATAAGCACTAACCTCTGATTCAACACACATCAATCTGTCAGAGAAACATTTGACTAGTCAGTGATGAAATATAAGCACTAACACTAACCTCTGATTCAACAAACATCAGTATGTCAGAGAAATATTTGACAAGTCAGTGATTTCATATAAGCACTAACCTCTGATTCAACACACATCAGTATGTCAGAGAAACATTTGACAAGTCAGTGATTACATATGATGAAGTTGTGACAACTACTGGTGGGACTGCACACATGTAAAATATGCCAATAAATAAATGATATAAAAAATAATGTGTGTGTAAACTATGTGCAGTTTGTGCCACTGATAAAGTATTATGTGTTACTAGTAACTTACTGATAAAGTATTATATGTTACTGGTAGCTTACTGATAAAGTATTATGTGTTACTGGTAGCTTACTGATAAAGTATTGTTTTACTGGTACTTACCCTTGGGACACATGATGAATTTGTGCAGTTGTCACAAACTGAATCAAAGCAAATGTAGGACAAGTAGTTGCTGTAGTTCTGGCCATTACTGCTGACAGCAATCTTAAAAACACCTGTCTGATTGAAGCGGCATCTGACCAGCTGATCTGTGACATACTGACCTTTTACCTTTGTCTCATTTGCATTCTAGAAAAACACAGAAATGAGGGGAAGTTATAACATGGTCAATTAAAACACCCAAGCTACATTATTTTGTGTACTAGAAAGAAAAATGATTAATTAAAAATATACTTATTTAGTTTGACTAAATATTGTAAACAATTCACGAAAACAATATAAACTACTCATTTTGAACGTCTGCTGAATAAAATCCAAGATGGCAATGAATTTTGGAAGGTTAATGATGTAGATGATGACAGTTTCTTACTTGTAATGACTGGATGTGACAAGTCAGAAGTTCAGTGTTGGCAAAATTCACTCCAGAGATGTCTATGAAGTCACACAGGCTCAATCTCTGATCACACACGCTGCCACTATCAATGGCTTGAAGAGTGGGAGGCTGAGCTCTGGGAATGTGGCAGTCAACACCCAGCCAGTCACTGCTGCAGTTACACAAACCTAAATCAGAGAGAACAAAAACACTTGTGACACAAACCTAGATCAGAGAGAACAACAGTTGTAACACAAACCTAGATCAGAGAGAACAACAGTTCTTACACAAACCTAGATCAGAGAGAACAACAGTTCTTACACAAACCTAGACAAGAAAGAACAACAACAGTTGTTTCACAAACCTAGATCAGAGACAACAACAGTTGTTACACAAACCTAGATCAGAGACAACAACAGTTGTTACACAAACCTAGATTAGAGACAACAACAACAGTTGTTACACAAAACTAGATCAGAGAGAACAACAACAGTTGTTACACAAACCTAGATTAGAGACAACAACAACAGTTGTTACACAAACCTAGATCAGAGAGAACAACAACAGTTATTACACAAACCTAGATTAGAGAGAACAACTGTTCTTACACAAACCTAGATCAGAGAGAACAACAACAGTTGTTACACAAACCTAGATCAGAGAGAACAACAACAGTTGTTACATAAAACTAGATCAGAGACAACAACAACAGTTGTTACACAAACCTAGATCAGAGAGAACAACAACATTTGTGACACAAACCTAAATCAGAGAGAACAAAAACAGTTGTTACAGAAACCTAGATCAGAGAGAACAACAACACTTGCGACACAAACCTAGATCAGAGAGAACAACAACAGTTGTTTCACAAACCTAGATCAGAGAGAACAACAGTTCTTACAAAAACCTAGATTAGAGAGAACAACAGTTCTTACACAAACCTAGATCAGAGAGAACAACAGTTCTTACACAAACCTAGACCAGAGAGAACAACAACACTTGTTACAAAAAACCTAGATTAG